CCAGCCCCTGCCCCACCCCCCGGCCTTCACCGCACTATGGTCTGTGTCTGCTGGTTGTGCATCTGTGCATATAAGACATTTTGAGATCAGAAACAGAATGAACCCGTCCTTCCCTCTCGTAGCTTTAGACCAAACGCTTGAACAGGCTGGCGCTGCTCAGGCGGGCAGGGAGGGGAGGGACCTGAGCAAGTGCCCCGCACGGCCGCCTGGTCTACCGGGTGGTTTCACCAAGGCGAGGGGCTGGCTGGCTCAGGGCCATGGCCCCTAGTGGTGGACCGGCAGCCACTGCGCATGGTCCTCCCGCAGCTCCCGCGGCACCTCCGGGCCCCTCTCCAGGCGCGGGTCACGCCGGCTCGGCCCGCCCGCCCTGTGAAGTCGCCGGCTCCTGGCTCCCTGGTGTCTGGGGCCACTTGCCTGGTGTCTTGTGTGGCTGCCAGGAGCTGGTCCTGTTCCCTCACTGGGGCCTATTCCCTTGTCCTGGCCGCTGCCCGGGAAGAATCAGCGGCATTGTCCCTCTCGGAGGCGACGGCCGCCCTGGACAAAGTCTGTAAGAAGCAGAGGAGGGAGGGGAAGCCTCCTCGGGAGAACACAGCGGGACCTGCCGGTCCTCGGGGGCGGGAAGGCCCCTACCTGGGGCGGACGCTCCCTGCTCCCGAAGCGGAGGCCCGGGGCCTCCCCGCGTCTCGGTCCCCGGGGCTTTCCCGCCCGCGGCTGCAGAGCTCGCCTCCGAGCGCCTCCCGCCTGCTGCTCCGCGCACTCGACTCGCGACGCTTATTGCAAGGTTTCGTCGACTGGGGGTTCGGGTTCTGTTTTTGTCCTGTTTTCCGCAACCCGATCATAACGTGGGGCTCTCTGCACCATCGTAACATGCTCCCCGCTCGACGCCTGTGCTTGCTGATCAGACAACACGGATAGAAAGAAATTGGTCTACTTGAAAGCAGTGGGGGCCCTGGCGGGGTGGCTCAGTGGTTAGAGCGTCGGCCCATGCACCAGGAGGTTGTGGTTCAATTCCCGGTCGAGGCCCATACGGGAGGCAACCGATCGATGTTTCTCTCTCATGTCTCATGTCTCTGTCTCATGTCTCTGTCTCTGTCTCTGTCTCTCTCCCTCTCAAATCAATAAAAACATATACTTGGGTAAGAATTTTTTAAAAAGTGCTGGGGGATTGTGTCTGCACTGTCCTATTTCCCTCTGCATTTGTGAATTATGACACCAATAACTTAAAAAAGAGTAAGTGATATTCTTACCTGCCCCACTTCCTTTCATAAGACAACACCCCCCCCCCACACACACACACACACACACACACTGTAAATTAGCCTAAATGTGGCTACCACTGACAATCCATTCCTGGGCCTGGTCTGAGCCAGAAAGTGAGGCGACAGGCACAGGGGAGGGGCTGGTTTAGATTGTGCCCTAAGTAAGGACAGAGAGGGTGCTTTTCGCTGTCACCAAGGGGTGCTAGAGATCACAGGGCCAGGCCCCCCTTTACATGAAGAGCCGAGGCCCCCAGGCGTGCTCTGCCCAGGGGGCTCTTGCAGGCTCTTAGGATGTGATTGCCCCTAAACTGGCCCCACCCACCCCTCCGTGATCTCTAACCCCCTCTGGAATGCTGAGCAGGCCCCAGGAGAGGCTGTGTCCAGGGGCCGGAGCCAGGGTTGGGAGCGTGAACCACGAAATTTTTCACTGGACTGTGACGCTGGGAACTAGCCCGTCCTCGGCGTCACCGTGAGGAGCCCGGCTGGTGCCCCAGCGGAGGACCCTCCCACTGGAAGGATCACGGACAGACGTGCCCCAGTGAGGTGCCAGGCCCCACAAACAGCACAGCACAGGGGTTCCTTCCCCCGGTCCCAGCACAGCCCTCTGGCAGCCCGGCCACCCCCCAAGCCTGGCTGCCATCCTCACCCCTCTCTCTGCTGTGGGCATCTCTGGGCAGCACTGGTGCCACGAAGCCGGGGCCTGGCCGGTGTGGGGAGGACTGGGACCTGGGCCAGGTGCCTCCTCTGTCTCCCTGCCTGCCAGACGCCAGCTCCCCCTGAATAGCTGCTAAGCCGGCAGCTTTCTTCCTGCTCTTGGGCCCCAGCCCCAGCCCCAGCCCCAGCTCCAAGCCGACCTCGCTTCTCAAGACCTTTGGGGGGAACTTCTGTCTTCAAAGCTTTCGGGGCTGTGCGGGTGGAGGCCTGAGCCTGAAGTTCTGTGACCCACGGACACATGGCGTGTAGGGGCTCCCTGGGAATGACACTCCTTCACTGGCTGCTTCTGGAACTGCCACCCCGGAAACACACAGCCCCCACTCTCCAGGCACCGAGGGAGAGAAGGCAGGAACTGAACCTGAGC